CAACAGATATTAGAATCTGATTCAATAAACCAAGTAAAATTAGGCTTTTATTTGTTGTTGTTTTTGTTAATGCTCACGCAAAATTCAAATCTTGCGTGAATTTTGGGACACCCTTTACCTGTTGCACAGACCGACTCTGATGCTATGTGGACGGGAACTCCACAATGGAGATTCGGGAGGTGGGATCACCGGGGCCACGTGGAAGCCGGCCGCCCTAGTCTGTCCTTCCCACAGCCCCCTCTCCTCTGCCCCGGCCACACTAACCTGCCCTGGCTCTCTCCCTCAGAGCCCTGATGCGGGAGACGCCCAGGAGGTGACATACGCCCAGCTGGACCCGCGGGCCCTCACCCTCAGGGCAGCCCAAGCTGCGTCCCCACAGCCCACGGAGCCCACCGCTGACGGCAGCACATACGCGGAGCTTCCCAGACGCTGACTCGGGACCCCCTGGCCTCTGCACCCACAGACACAGTCACTTTTTTAAAAAAAATTTAAATTCTTTATTGTTTAAAGTATTACATAAGTCTCCTCCCCCTCCCCCGTTGACCTCTCCCCGGCCGTCCCACCCCCAACACAAGTCACTCTTGCAAAGGCCTGAAGCACCATGAAGAGGACTCCCCTGTGCAATCACCCCGTTCTTGACAACCATCTATTCATTTCTCCTGGAGGCGAGAGCTGGAGTCGGGGTCCCCTACTCAACACCTAGGAGGTTCATTCACCAGGGCCGCCCCCTACAATCCACCAGCTGCTTGGAGCACCCATATAACACTTGTTTCCAGAGACCCAGCGACTGTTGTCCAGCAGTTTTCAGACACCCAGCTACAATTGTCCAGCAGTTTCCAGAGACCCAGCTACTATTGCCCAGCAGTTTTCAGACACCCAGCTACAATTGTCCAGCAGTTTCTAACAACCCAGCTACAGTTGTCCGGCAGTTTCCAGAGATTCAGCTACTATTGCCCAGCAGTTTTCAGAGACCCAGCTACAGTTGGTGGGCTGTTTCCAGAGACCCAGCTACAGTCCTACAGTCACCCAGTTCATTCCAGCCATGCCCTGTGAATCCCCACCTTTCCCCCAGAGACTGTTGAATCCATCTTCTTAGCCGACTCTAAAGATTTTCCATGTGTTGGCCTGGAACCTGGGCCATATTTATGTGGCGAATCTCTGATGCCTCATTGTCTCTGAATCCTGCTTCACCTTGTGCATCAATAAATGTTTTCACACAACCAATTACGGCAGCCCTGCACGAGGAGCTGGGGTACACAGGTACCTGGTCCCCAGTCTCTGCCTCCACAGATGCTCAATACTTAGTAAGGGAAAAAAGACAAAAAAAGGGGGCATTGATGATTTCTGATCTGAGTCATGTTCTTAGTCACGAGTAAGCAGGCATCTAAGGGATCGCTTGGTTGGGTGAGGGTGCAGAGCGTACACCCTTACCCACACCACATGCACACACATGCCCGTGAAGGCACAAATACACACGCACACACTCATGCACACACTGGTACAAACGCATATACATGCATACACCCACACCACATGCACACACATGCCCGTGAAGGCACAAATGCACATGCACACACTCATGCACACACTGGTACAAATGCATATACATGCCTACGCCCACATCGTGGACACATGTGTGGGCTGGGCACAGGTTCGGTGAGGCCATGGTGGCACGGGAGGGTCCCTCGGGCTGTTAGTCCCCTCTGAGGGACATGGTGTGTCCCCACTTCCTGCACCCACCCCAGGCTCATCCCCACTGGACACCATGCATTCTCCAAACTAACTGGACCTACCCAGCTCTCCAGCGTGTCCTTGGTCCGACCTTCCTCCCCTCCCCTAGCTCATGCCCTTCAAGACTGGGGTTGGGTACTGTTTTGCCCAGTAAGTTTGCATCGACTCCTCCCCTAAAGTGAGAGTATTAGTATCCTGTTGCTGCTGTAACAAATCACCACACACTTCATGGCTTCAAACAAGAGAGTGTATTATCTTACAGGTCAGGATGCCAAAAGCCTGAAGTCAGTTTCATTGGCTAAGATCAAGGTGCTGGCAGGGCTGCCCTCCCTCGGGAGGGGGGAAGGGAGGGGCGGGCAGTAAAGGAGAATCCATCTCATTACCTTGGGCAACTTCAAGGGGTCGCCTGCACTCCTTGGCTTGCAGCCCCTTCCTCTATCGTCAGGGAGCGCTGCAGCTTCTTCAAATCCCGCTCTCTGACCAGGGTCGTCTCCTTCCCTCAATCTCTGACCCTCCTGCCTCCCTCTGAGCAGGACCCTTGGGATGACATGGGTCCACCTGGACCCCTGGATCATCTTCCGATCCCCAGATACCAGATAGTTCCAGGGAATAGGACTTGGGCATCGCTGGGGGCTCTTATTCTGTCCTCAGCACCGTGTCTGTCCGTGGGCTTCCTCTGGGCCCCAGGTGGGCTCTCCCCTTCGCTGTTGGATACTGACGTCCTGGGTGACCTTGGACGCCACACCTTGAAGGTGGCCCTTGGTTCCCAGCCTGACTGTGTGGAGCAGAGCCTGCTGTGCCTCCTTATACTGGCCACGTGTCAGGCGTTTGTAATCCTGACGCTTCCACAGGAGTCAGCCAGGCATACCTTGTCCTCGACGAACCTGTAGATGCCTGCGTCCCCCGGCATTGGCCTCCTGCCTCCCTCGCAGCTGCCCCAACCCCTGAACAAGAATCTTCTTCCTGCCCTGGTTGGTGTGGCTCAGTGGATAGAGCGTTGGCCTGCAAATCAAAGGGTCTTGGGTTCCAGTCCGGTCAAGGGCAGGTACCTCGGTTGCAGGCTCCTCCCCGGCTCGGGCCCTGGTCAGGGATCTAGCGGGAGGCAACCAGTCGATGTGTTTCTCCCACATCGATGTTTCTATCTTTCTCTCTCCCACTCACTCTAAAAATCAATGGGAAAATATCCTCGGGTGAGGATTAAAAATATATATAGGAATCCTCTTGCTGGGGTCACCCTTCAGATAAAACCAGCCATCCTGAGCCCACACCCCGCCACCCCTTTTGTGGGGCTTTCTCACTCTGGACCTTGATCCCCCAGCCCTAGTCAACCCCGGACCAGGGATCAGGCACCTAGCACCATCCCCTCCACCCCGGGGCCCACTGCAAGCATTAAAGCAGCCATTGCTCAGCTGCTCACCCTGTCTCCCCAATTCCTCCCAGTGGAAACCACATCAAAGCCC